GGACCCGCAGCCCTGCCACAGCCCCCGCATGCCGCGCCGGGCCTCACCTTGAGGATGGCGATGCAGTGCGAGACCAGGCCCCTGCGGACACGGAGGAGGGATGAGCCCGGCCCCACCGGCCATGAGCCGAATCCAGCCCTGCTCCAGCGGCAGCAGAGGCCGGTGGCTGAGGGGGCTGATCCCAGGCCCCCAGGCCGCTCCTGGTTTGTGGGGCCAGGAAGCGAAGTGCCCCAAGGGGAGTTGTCCCAAGGGGGGAGTCCAAAGGGATTTGGCACTAACGTGGGGAGCAAGATGGGGCAGGGAGGAGACAGGAGGGCACCCGGTGCCGTCTCCTCAGGGGACGCGCGGGCTTACGAGGCGTCCTCGATCCAGTGCTCGTTCTCCAGGATGGCCTCGATGTGGGGGTTCGTGATGACCACGTCGTCCAGCTCCAGCTCCGAGGGCTCCGACTGCGTCTCCATGGCCCCCATGAGGTCCACGATGGGCCTGTGGCAGGGACACAAGGGCGCCTCAGCGCCCACTGCCACCCCCCTCATGACAGCGAGGATGAGCTACGGTGACATGTGGGGCCACCATGACAGCAGTGCCACCTTTCCACTCTGGCTTGGGGGCTCCAAGCTCTTCCCAGCCCTCAGGACCTGTCCACGCGGAGGAGGCGGCTGGGTGCGGACACCCAGCAGCCCCCGCTGAGCTCAGGGCACCAGCACCACGTGGCCACCCAGCCACCGAGCCGCCACGGCCAAGGTCCCTTGGTGGGGACGGGCCCAGCTGGGCAGGGGGCCGCGGGACAGCACTCACTTGGTGTCGTAGTGGTGCAGCAGGTCCTTGGGGCGGCAGTAGCGCTGCCGGCAGACCACGACGAGCGCCACGAAGGAGGCCAGGAAGATGGTGGCCAGCACGCCGATGGCCACGATGACGACCGTCTCCATCGCTCTGGCTCCCTCAGGCGCGACGCTCCATGCGGGACGCGGTGAAGGCAGGGAGGGCGTCACGGCCCACAAGCCGCCTCACGAGGTCCTGACCCCGCCGCTTCTTGCCCAGTTTCCAACTGCTTTCCCGGATTTCCTGCGGATGCCTGGAGCTGCTGTGATCTCCCCCTCAGTTCTCCTGCCACAGCTCCAGTGCCGAACCCAGCTGCCACCTTCCCTCCCCAAAAACAGGAGCAGGCAGAAAGGTGCCACGGGGGGACCCGGGGAGCAGGGATTGTCCCCAACCTGTTACTGGGCCCATGGTGACAAGGGGCGTGTGGGGAGGGCACAGGAATTGTGCTCAAGCCGTGGGGATGCCCAGAGCACAGGACACAGGGGGCTGGGGACCATCCGCAGGACAGTCCATATGGGGCTGCGGGGACACCCACGGCTGGGTCTATATGGGGTGATAGGACTCCCAAAACCAGGTCCATATGAGGCTGTGGGGACATCCAGAGCCAGGTCCATATGGGGTGAGAAGACTCCCGAAGCCAGGTCCATATGGGGCTGTGGGGACACGCAGAGCCCAACCTATTTGGGGCACCAGGGCTGCAGCCATCCTGCTCTGCACGGGCTGCGCAGAGCCCAGTCTCTCCTGCC